TCCCACACCTGAAACTAATGCAACAAGTCAAATATACTTCAATTAGAAAAAGGTAATAAATTTTTTAAATTTAAAAATAAAAGGGAATTAAGAATTTTGTTGCAAAAAAAATCTGTGAAAAGCAGTAGTTTTGAGTAAAAATGACTGAGAGTCAAATTCTGACTCTGCAGTGGAAAATTGAGCAAGATAAATAATCTCCTAAACTTCAATTTCCTCCTCTGTGAAGTGAGAACACCATACACCATTAATATAATGTTAACAATACAACATTGTTATGAAGATTAAGTGAGCTGATACCTTGGAAGCTCTTGGCTCAGTGCCTGGTATACAGGAAGCACCCCAAGAATCTGAGCTCTTACTCTTATTATTATGATTTTTCGTATATTGTAAAATCCTGAAGTAGAGATCCATGTACTTACGTCTCTGACCGTAATTCCAATTAACTCTTTATGATAGGTTCCTACAAGGATGATTACTTGGGTCCAAGCGTCTGAACATACTGGCTGATAATCCTGTTTTGTCAGAGTTATCCAGAAAAGGCAATTCAACAGTTTGCTTCACTTGACTACCAGGAAATTCTTGAGCTCTGGAAGTTAAATTGTTAAATTTATTTGGCAGATTACAAACCTAGTTAAATTTATGTATATTTATGTTAAAATTGAGTGCTCTTTAAGATCTCTTTGTGATAGGTCATTAGCAAGAAAGAGAAAATAAGACAGAACATTTCCCTATTTCTGGTAAACCAAACAGTACCAGAAGCAAAAGTGGTTTTAGGAGACTGTGCCCCTGGCTTCCTGCAGTCCTTTGAGTGCATTCATTCCTTGGCCTTCCTTTCTAACACCTGCCACTTTAAATCCCTTGCTTTGCATGGCCATTGGACTTTTAGATTCCCTCCTTATCTTTGACCTTTTTATTTAAGGATGTGACTTTTAACTAACCTTTGGCCTGTGGGTCAGCAGTTAAGCTGTCCATTCTCCCAGACTCCTTTCATCTTTTGCCTTTTTAAGGACAAAGCCAATTGTGCATAACTTTTACATATTTTGGCCATCTCAAGCCATTCTTAGGTGGGGAAACCTCCTAAGGCAGGTGCTGTCAGGGGCACATTGAATAGAAATGAGAAACAAAGTGTTAAGAAGAGCATTAGACTTTGGGTTTCTCAGGAAAACACAGCCTGTTCAAATTTCTTTTCAATGTCCTCTTTTAGGGGAGGATAGAGGATTATTCTTAACAGAGGCAGTCTTGATACAGTTTTCTCTTTTTGAAAGTGAGGTCTCTTGCAGGGCTGTTCTGAGGAGTAAATGTTAGAAACCATCTCTCTCCTTAGGAGAACTTAGCTTACTGGAGAAGGGGGACAGAATACACACAGAAGTCTGTAACCTAGAGTAAAAGAAGTAAGGGTCACGATGCACAAAAGGGAATTCTAAGAAAGGAGAGTTCCAGTTGAATGGTGGAAATCTAGGAGGACTTCATGTAAGAGATGGTTTTAAGAGGAGTCCAGCTTTGTGAAGGAGTGGTGTTGAAGATCAGTCATGAAGGATGGTATTGAGTGGAATCTGGTGCAGGTGGAAGGGTGAGTAGAACGAGAATGGGAACATTCATGCCTGCGAGTGGAATCACAAGAGAAAAGTCAGAGATATTAAGAAGTGGAACACGTCTGGGGACCATCAAATGAGGTAGTTTCATTAGCATGTACACAAGACGCTGAAGGTTTAATAGCTAGGGAGTGATCTGATCCCAGCTGTGGTTTGAGGATAGTGAGGGAGCTGTGTGTAAGGTGAAATGAAGAGAGAGCCAGAGGTAAAGAGAGAGAGAGAGAGAAAAGAAAGATTAACCAGGGCATGTTAGATTTTTTTCTAGATTAAAGACAATGGTGAGGGAGGGGGTCAAAGCCAGAACAGTGGTTGTGAGGCTGGAGAGAATAGGTGGAAAAGCTTAGTAAATTGATGAAATTCTTTTTGTTAAGAATAATTTCTTTTCTTAAATAATTTATTTGCAATAAATTAATAGTTAAATGGCAAATTCAATGGTTAAAAACTCATAAAACACATCAATAAAAAGATCTTTGGTTAATACATCTAATCACATTCTATAAAGCACAATAAATCAACTTCAATAAAAAAGCATATGAAGATTACTGAACTCCGTTAAAAAGAGGTAAGCATAACAATAAGGCTCTTATCTGTTTTCAATCCTAAAAAACTTAGAGGTTGAACAGAGCTGTAGAAAGTTTGGACACTGGGTCAAGAAATCAGACACCCATGTCTTGAGTTTCCATTAATTGTCCATGGGACCTCTGGAAAGTCACTTCATAACACTCTGGACCTATTTTCTTCTCTATAAAATGAGGAGTAAAACTAGCCAATCTCATGATTGATATAAATCAAGCACCCTGTTTATATCTGGTTTCCAGAAGTTTCTAGTAGTGTCCATAGCAGACCAAACATATTTTTTTTCAAGTAACAGAGTAGCATAGATGATATAATCCACCTACACTTTTTTGTTGGGTTCCGATAATCCAAAAAGATATGTACCATCAGTAGATATGTAAACACAAACTAGAATGTGTTTTAATGGAAAATTCTTACCACTGCAATCACCAAGCCTTGAGTATAAGATACCAAGGAAGACCACAGAGTAATGTTTGAATTCGCTTCCAGTCTTAGGGATACTGCCAAAGGTTTTGATCCATGTGTTCCTACAGTTCCTTTTGACAGTCACTTTAACCCCACACAACATGATATACCAAAATCAAAGCTTGCAGAATAATTTAAGAGGTGAATTACATCAAGTAATATTTTAAGTGTTTATTCATTTATCAAGGGAATTTCCTGCAGGGTTTCTTTAAATCATTATCCCCCTCATATAGTTTAATGATAACTCAATCTCCTCATAACTTTTCAGGAGCACTCTCTTACACTTCAGTGGAAAGGCACTCTATACTCACAGGCATGGCTCCAACAGCAGAAAAGGGCCTGAATTCTGAGAAGAACAGTAAAATCCTGCATTCAGGAAAAGAGGTCCTCTGTGCCCTCCTCAGCAACATGTTAATAGGAAGCTAATATAAAAAAACACTGTCAAAAGTGGTATTTTGATTTAATGCCAGATGAGAGAGTAAGTAATGTTATTCAATTGACAATTGTCATCAAAGCTTTGAGATATACTATTGGTTGGTAGTTTGGGGACAAATTTAAGTCCATATAACCTCATGAGCAAGAAATGCACATGTGGAGGAAGTCCCTTAGTCTCTGTGCATATGTGTTTCCCCGGACTATTCTGGGTCCATAGGGAAGTATACAAAACACAGTTTAAAGAAAGGACCTAGGGGCGCCTGGGTGGCTCAGTTGGTTGGGCAACTGCCTTCAGCTCAGGTCATGATCCCGGAGGCCCGGGACCGAGTCCCACATCAGGCTCCCAGCTCCATGGGGAGTCTGCTTCTCCCTCTCACCTTCTCCCCTCTCATGCTCTCTCACCCTTTCTCAAATAAATAAAATCTTAAAAAAAAAAAGAAAGAAAGAAAGAAAGGACCTAGAAGGAAAACATATTGCATTGGATAAATGCTTTGGGCTATGAGTGGGAATGCTGTGTAGATGTTAATGGCATTACAACCTTGTTATTTGGGTGGAATGAGATTTTGGGGGAGCCACATCTAGCTTTTTTTCTGATCACCAAACCAAACAGGCTTACTTCAACCTTCCATAAATCAATACCTTCTTTCTAGAGTCACAGGAAATTTAAATTCCTCTATTATGTATACACTGGAAACCCATAACTGCAAATCCGTCAATTTCCTACCTGTGCTTCGGAAGGTTTTGAAACCAATGTACTGTCAAGAACTTTAGGGTAATAACATGTCCCAGAGACAATCAAATGACATTATTTGTATTCTGGGCTCAGCTATGGGATTCATCCTTGAATCCGTCTTTGAATCCAATCATTGGGGGCACGTGGTTGTGAGTAGTTCTGCCAGATCCACACTGTTTCGTTGACTAGTGGGTACCACCCCTCCTAGCGTAAGAGTGAGCTAATGCTCCATAGCGAAGGAGACAAATGACAAATTCATTAATTCATTAAAGTCTGGTATTACATTCCTATTGTCTACTCTAGATCTTTTGTTTAAACTAAGCTCTCTGTTAAATGAGTCGTTAAATGGTGTGTTTGGATTTTCATAATTATATTTGAATTTAATAGGTCTTAAATCAGCAGGAACTTGGGCTGAATTAAACGTTTTAATGTCTGAAATGTGCAACTAAGGGGTTAGATAACCTATTTTTGCTACCTGTTTTTCATAAGAAAACTATGAACTCTCATTCATAAATTATCAAGTCCTTTTCTCTAACAGATATAATCCACCATTCAGCTTTAGAGATAACAAAGATATAAATGGTTCAATGCAGGTAATACTTCATATTTCCACAGGGATAAAGGATGCAGAGCTCTTCCACATGTATCTGCTATGTTCCTGTAATCCTCACGTGTGAGAAGGGTCTCCTCACGTTTCCACAAGTCTCCAGGTTGGTTTCTGTGAGGGCTCTCTTCATATTTATCAACCTTATTTTGTTCACCCTCGATCACATATACCTCATTTTTCAAAACAAACTGTAAAATGTGTTCTGAGGGAAGCATTTTCTACTCATCCATTTGAGATCTGTTATGGGAAAACTCCTTCCTTATAATTGAAAACATACTGAGTAAAACAGTGATTTCCAAGCCTGTTTTTCACTTACACTTCCCCCCTCCCAAACAATATCTTATGCAGATCCTGGATACATAAAATAGAGGCAGGCTGCTCTGTCTGGAGCTCCGGGGTAGCAGACTCCAAAGCCATCTTCCTCATGGCCTCTGTCTGGCTCCCTGCAGCTGTCCCTGAGCCACCTCCTGTGAAGCGTAAGTGTATTCCTCACAAATTATTCATCAAGTTGACACTGGAACATGCAAAAGGCTGTCAACAGCCAGTGGCTTCAGAGCAAGGGCTGCCCTGGGTGATGACAGCCGGAGCCCCACTACGCAATGTTGTGGCTTGGGTCAAGTGAAGGGACCTGGTAGTCATCGAGTAGAGTCCTGTCCGGCAGGTGGGATCCTTGGGGGAAGAGTCCCAGAATGTTTCCCTGAGCAGCCACTCCTGTTTGCTGCAGGGTTTGCTCCCCCAAGACCTTGACCAAGAAGTTGATGTACCTCATTGCCAGGCGAAGTGTTTCATTTTTGCTCAGCTTTTTGTCTGGAGGGTGAGTGGGGATGAGCTTCCTCAGCTTGGCAAAGGCGCTGTTGACGTTCTGCTGCCTCCACCGCTCCCTGGTGTTTGTGAAGATCTTCCTGGTCATGTTTGAGCTCCTGAGACAGGAAAGAGAAAGGGCCCTGAGGGCCAGTACTGTGTAAGCGATGGTGGGTGTCGCACATCCTGCTAAGGATTTGAGATGTTAGATCTTTTTGACCCAGGTCAAAATTTAGGAAATTCCACTTCCTCATTTTTCGTTTTGGGGGTTTTTGTTTGTTTGCTTGCTTGCTTTTTCTTTTCTTTTTTTTTTTTTTTAAATATTTATTTATTTATTTATTGGGTCTTCCTTTTAATAAGAGAAGAAAATGTGGCAGAAAAAAGGACAGGGTAAGAACAATACCCTTCAGCCTTTTTCTCCCTAGCTGTTTTGAAGCCTCCTGTTGCAAGGTGGTTTTATCCCAGTATCCCCACTATTTCTTTTATCACCAACTCCTCCAAATTATTCAGAATCAGCCATAGTATAGGATTTAGTGCTTGTACAGATAAAATATACATTTAGCCAATAGGGAGTTAACTAAGGATTCTCAAAAATAAATAAATAAATAAAAGCTGTAGTCCTAGGTTTCCCTAATAAGATAATTTGGGGAACGTAGATAATAGTGCAGCTCCCCTCTTAGCGGACAGATCTCACCTGGAGAGTTGGGCCTCACTGCACAAGACCTAAAATATCCAGCCTGGACCACGTTTAGAAGAGGATGAACAGAGTGATGAAGTGTCTTGAACCCCTGTTGTATGAAAGACAGAAGTGGGGCTATTTGGCATGACCAGAAGAAAAGACAAGAGACAGGTAGGTGCTACGGAAAATATTCAGGCCTCCACAAGCCTGTGCTTGGGTGACCTTTCCAACTCGGGGAGAGCTGATTATCACCATCTATTGCTAAATTTTCCTTTGCCATTTTTAATCCATAGAGGCACAGGCCCCTTTTGCCAGGCAGCCTGGATTAACATGCGTTAATGGGAATGCAGATGATGCATGAGCAAACAAAGCCCTCTGAGATCTCGGCGTGCGGTGGGTGCTCTACTCTGAAAATAGGAACCCGTCATCCCTGTTGAAACTCTGGGTGATAAGGAAGCAGTACCCTCACCAGACCCCTGCAGTCCTGGAGGCAGGTCCAGCAGGAGCTCAGCACAGGGAAATGCCACCATCTCCCGTCAGAGGGTGTGTGTTCTGGTCACAGCAGCAAACATCAACCAGCTGTGAGGCACTGCCTAAGTCACTTCACCAACCCGAGCCTCAGTTCCTCAGCTATACAATGGGCATTAATTATACCATCCTTTCCTCACAGTTTGATGTGAAAGCATTCTGTGAACCATAAGCTGAGGAACGTAACTTTGCTTTGTGCCAGGCATCATTTCTCATGCATTAACTCACACTGCATACATACGCAAGCAGTGTTGGTTGTAGAGACAGTATTGGAGGCACTGCTGGGATTGGCCAAGGGCCACTGACATGGTCCAGAAGTCATTTCACTACACTGTGTGCTGGCATCTCTGCCCTTCGGTAGGAACCAAATGACATCTCAGTTAATTAGAACAAGCCACTCTGTTACCCTCAAGCCCTGACTCTATAGGGATCAGTCGCCAATGGAAGCATCTGCGTGGTGGGTAAGGACAGAGGCTTTGGAGCCAGAACTTGGCTTGGATTTTTGGTTCTGCTCCTTAGCTGAGCAATCTACTTAAACTCTCTGTGTATCAAATGCCTCGTAAGTAAAAGGGGACTCAGGGTGCTACCTGTAAGGACACATAAAATGATCCACACAAACCACTTTAGTGAAGGGTCTGACACACAGCCAGTGGTCAATAAATATTAATCACAATTATTATCTCTACCAATAAAACAGGGAAAAGTAAATGTTCATTGCAACTTAGCATTTTTCTTTCCTAATGAAGAAGCTACAGTGCAGTAGAAAAGGTCTGAGCTTGATTTATGGATTTGTTTGTTCTGCTCTGTCTATGGATGTGTGTTGGTGTGTGTGTGTGTGTGTGTGTGTGTGTGTGTGTGTGTGTGTGTGCAGAGCAAAATACCTCGAAGGACTCAGGCTAAACTGTTGACCGTGGTTCCCTGGGGGAGGACCGTGGGTTGGGGGAAGATAGAAAAAGGAGATGGGTGTGTTTTATCTGACATAGGTGGGTAATATTTTACATTTTTATAACTAAAAAGGATTCATATATTATTTGCTTCATAATAGACAAAAGCTAAAAAAGTTTATGGGCTTTAATGTAGAAAGACCTGGCTGTGAATCTCAGCTCCCAATTTCTTAGTTATACGATTCTGAGAAAATCACTTAACTTCTTTAAGCCTCGATTTCTTCTCTGGAAAATGGAAATAAAGCCATTTCCAGGGTTCTTGTGAGGATTTATAATACATTCTGTAAAGCATATAAATACATAAATGAGGCAATACGTGCCTGCTACATAGGTGCTTAATAAATACAAGGCTTCTCTTCCCTATGCAGATGGGAAGGGTCGTTACTCCAAAGAATAGCATTTTTCAGTCATCCATATGGCCCCAGGACACTTCCCCATCCCTGTGCTTGTTGCCTTTCCTGCTTCTGTCTGTATTGGAGACAGAGGGCTGTGTTGAGAACCCAGTGATAAGGGAAAGGGATAGCAGCCCAAGCTCACTGGCTGGTTTCAGGCTCCTTCCACCAGCCACTTGGGTCTCTGTGGAGAAACGTTTAGTAGGACCCATGATCCAATTACAATCATATGCACTCTGAGCTTACGTATCAACACTTACTGACCATATGTGCTGGACATGGTGCTGCCTGCTGGATCCTGAGGAAATCAGTGCCTTGTGAATGGAGAGAGCAGCACCTAATCCAGGTATTCTAGGGGCCTTCCAGGCATACCATGTATCCTTCCAAACTGAAGGGGGTGGACCAGGTGATCCGGGAGGCCTCTTTCTGCTCTAAAAGGCCACAGTGCCCTGCCTATTGCCTTTGATCTCACTTAGTCATGTCTAAATAACCTCATCTTTTATCTACAATGAAAAATATGAGTGTCGTCAGAACTGTAACCAAGTAAAATTAACATATGACAGTTCGAACCTAAATCAAGGGATTTTAAGATAGAAAACTACCCAGTTTAGCTTACACTGAGCCTGGCTGCCTTGCAGCCGGGACTGTGGGAGCAAAGTTATTTTCAAGCTTCCCTTGTCAAAAGAGGGTTTAGCTCACTCACTAAGTCAACTCTGGTCCCTTGTGGTCGGGGTGGGGGGGGGGCGTCTTTTTCAAGCTGGAAGAAAAAGATAAAGCAGGATAAACTAACTGGTGTTCTCTTCTAAGAGGGCTCGATTCTATTGTGCTAGAAGCAGACAGAGGAAATAAGGAGAGGAAAAGATGGGCTTCAGAAATGTAGCCTGCCATCCTAGAAGGAGCTTAATAATGCCTTGTTGATTTATCCTCAAGGGTGTTACTCTCCTCCACAGGGGGAAATAGAAATCAGTTCTTTAACAAGCTGGGAGAATTCAAAGCAGTGGTCACTGGGAAATTACTAACGTACTCATTAAATCAAAGGAAAATTGCACTTAGTGCTTTTCCAGTTGTAAGGACTGATTACTGCTAAGCTTGATTTCAGAATAATTTAAGAGCTTAAAAAATGCACCAGATGTGACAGAATCAGAAAACATCTGATAGATGTCAAAACAGAGGTAAAACATGTTGTCTCAGGTCACATGGGGAGTCAGTGGCACAGCCTGTGTCCCATGCCTCTGTACTGATGCATCTTTGTCACCACTGACTTCTGCTAGGTCAGTGTACATAAACTTTTTGCACCATGGTTTCTTCTGGGAGTCTGGGGAAACCTAAGGGAGGACTCAATCCCAGAACAATGATTCAAAATACATAAAGTAAAAAGCCTTTGGTTCCCTCCTCAGAATAATTATTTTAAATGCATGAACTGAAATACATAACACAGAAAATCGCCAAATAATTATTAAAATAATTTTTAAATGCAAAACAGTAATAATATGCTTTGTTTTTAACATATAAAGTATTTATTACTATAATTTCTACACAGTGATATGTAATCAAAAGATATGCAATGTCTGTGGATGAAGGTACTTAAGATTTTTATTGGTGACCTCATCACCAGTACTACTTTTTATTACCCACATTGGTAAATAAAGGAAATGCTAAATTTAGATCAAAGGCTACTGGAAATGAAGATGTAATTTTTTCCCATCCAAGTATATAGAACCCCTGATTTTTAGTTCCATGCCTCTGGTTGGGTAGGTGTCACGGACCTGGGGTTAGGAATGCCTAGGCAGGAGGAATGTAACGGTAAATATAATAGGAATATAGGAATATAGGTGTGCACAAACTTCTCTCTATTATATTGTCACCACTGAAGTTAACAAGTTACCAGAGAGAAGAATGACAGTTACGCACCTACAGAAAGTGACCAATGCCCCCAAAAGGGATTGCTGCTTTTTTGTGACAGTGGTTTCTGGACACAGAGCCTGGGGCACCAAGAACATACCTGCAGTGGCCTGTCCCAGGCATTTGGACTCACATGGCTCTTTGTTCATAAGACTTAAAATTTCTCCTCCTGTCATTTGATCATGTGCATTTGTCTCTTCTTTTGTCTTTTTTTTGAAAATAAGTGAAAACAGACTCCAGAAAGAAAGAGATAGAAGGTGGCCTATAGAGTTGGGTTAGGGAAAGGTACATAAACTCCAACACTGGGAATAGTTTTGCCTTTGGAAATCATTATAGAAGTAACACATGCTCATCCAAGAAACAGACAAACAAGCAGTACACAAGTGCATAAAGTTACAAAATAGAAGTGTCTCTATCTATCTATTCAATCCTACTCAGCAGTAGCCAGCTTGGTATGCGTAAATACAATATAGATCCTTTATACAGAATACATATGTCCTTTAAAAATCAGAACACATACACATAATAGTATGTGTTCAACTGTGCACGTTGATGCTCTAAATAAATACATTTACCGTGAGTAACATTCTTTGGGAGGGCACCCCGCTCTCTGGGAGAGCTGCCTCTTCCACCTGCGCCTCCCCGCCTGACGCACCTGAATTCTCCGCCCACCCCGCCCAACCTGTAGTCC